AGGTTTACAGAACAAACTAGCTTCTCATTAAACAGTTAGTACACATATTGTTTTATGACATTGGTTAACAACCCCACAACATGTCAACACTCTCCCTTCTTGGCCTTGGGTTCTCTCTAAACAGCTTTCCTGTCCACTCCTGCCTTCTAGTCGTTGCCCCTGGTTTGGTGTGCCCCTTAGTCTCATTTTGTTTTATGGGCCTGTCTAATCTTTGGCTGAAGGGTGAACCTCAACAGTGACTTCGTTACTGAGTTAAAAGGATGTCAGGGGGTCATACTCTTGGGGTTTCTCCAGTCTCTGTCAGGGCAGTAAGTCTGATCTTTTTTTAATGACTTAGAATTTTGTTCTACATTTTTCTCCAGCTCTGTCTGGGACCCTCTGCTGTGATCCCTGTCAGAGCAGTCAGTGGTGGTAACCGGGCACCATCTAGTTGTACTGGAATCAGTCTGGTGGAGGCTGTGGTAGTTGTGGTCCATTAGTCCTTTGGACTAATCTTTCCCTTGTGTCTTTAGTTTTCTTCATTTTCCCTTGCTCCCGAAGGGGTGAGGACAGCGGAGTATCTTAGATGGCCACTCACAGGCTTTTAAGACCCCAGACACTACTCACCAAAGTAGGATATAGAACATTTTCTTTATAAACTGTGTTATGCCAGTTGAGCTAGATGTTCCCTGAGACCATGGTCCTGCTGAGGGGATTTTTGATAAGGGTCTTGTGTCAAGACCCTCCCTTAGGAACATTGTTTCCATATATTTAGTTTAACCACAAAGAAAAGTGTTTCCTTTGTTATGTATTTAAGTCCCTCTAAGGGTTTGATGGTTGCAGGGGAAATCCTTCTTTACGTATTTAAGTGTGACTAATAGTTCGACAGTTGTAGGGGAAAAAAGCAAAAGCTAAGATGGAGTTGGGGTTCAGACCTGGGACAATCATTCTGATACAAGTCAGGTGCCTCAGTTTTGGAACTCTCACACAAAAGTAAGGATACGTGTCCTAGAATGTTCACGAAGGATGTGGCTACACAATCTTT